AAAAGGACCAAGGCTTTTTTCATAGAAAGGTAAATGGACAAAGCTATCCTTATGGTGGTTCAATTACATATCTTGAAGCAGTAAGTTCTGAAAGTTTGATTGTAATTAAACATTGAAAAACTAGTTAATAATTAGTTGTAAGTTGTAAATCCAATTCATTCATTTAATTAACTGTCAAATCACATATTTTGCATTAAAATAAACCTGCTTAACTTAAATATTGTTTAGAAATACTTACCAAAAATAATTTTGATGCATAAAACATTTAACTTTTTTCATCATATTCAAATATTATTAGTCACGCAAGCTTATCTATTTAATAACTCGTAAAGTTTAAATGCATCGATTTCATAAAATAATATTTCAAACACGTCTAAAAAAAATAATAAATTAGGAATTTAATATACTGAGGGATATATTGATCAATACAATTGATGTTTATTTACTTTAAATTTTATTAACTTCAGGGTAAAAAAATTTTTTGAGAAATTTATTCAAATATTATCATAATTTTTAAAATTCTTTAAATTTGAGGGCGGAAAAGTATACAATATTATGAGGAGAAATTAATTAAAAAATTAAGTAATTTAGAATCATTAATAACATTAACCATTGTTATGTGTCCCGCATTGCCACTGGAAAATCTCACAAGTATTGTGGGTTTTATAAATTCAAAGGGCTCTTCCTCCTAACAAGCTAGTCTTTTGTAATTGGGCTATCCCCTTAGGCTTATGCTCATCACATTGGTGCTTTTATTGAGAGTCAGCCAACTGGAAAGGGCTACCTACAGACGGTTCTGACCAGTAAGAAGGCTGAGTAAAGTGCCGTAGAGTGGGGCCACTGGGGATGTCGACTCTCTCAAGGGGTGCTCTGTTATATGAGTCCCATGTTGGGGAATATCATAAGTGTTGTAAGGTTTACAAATTCAATGGGCTCTTCCTCTTAATAGACTAGTCTTTTAGGATAGACTTTTCTTTTAGGCTTATACTCATCACGTTGGTACTTTAATTGAGAGTTGACCAAGCCAAAAGGACTACTTGGGGAGTGTTATTACTGAGTGAAATACTGTAGAATGGAGCTGTGAGGGACGTAGGCTCTCGAGAGAAGGATGCTCTGTTATGAGTCCCACATTAGAGAATCTCACAAGTCCCTTAAGCTTATGCTCATCGCAACCATGTTAACGACTGGAGTAAAATGTAGGGTTCAAAAGTTATAATTTTAGTAAACTTGAATAAACTAATTTTTAAATATTTACAAAGTAAATATTGACGAGTTACATTCGAGTCAGGACAAAATGAGCCCCGAAACTAATTGCATAGTCTCTACGTGTCGGTCTCTCCTTCGTCGATATTGATGGCTGCTCGGGTGGTCCTACCCCCTCATCCGTTTTGAATATTTGACTGACTTTCTTTAATTGTCCGGTTTAGGAGAAAATTTAGTTTTTTTTTTTAGGTCAAAGGAGAAAACTTAGATTAATAATTTGTTGATAATGTAGAAACTCATACACGCATGGTCCTTTTTTAATGTTTATAATTGGTTTAAGTTGCGTCCAGCATTAAGGCAAAAAAAAAAAAACTTCAAAGTATTAGATACACCTGAAAACTATTTTAGGATAATGGATGCATTACAAAATATCAATATCTAAAAAATACTTCGGGGTACTGGATGTAACTTGACCCTTTATAATTATATATATATATATATATATATTCAAACTTGGGATATAATTATTTACAACTTAGGATATAATTATTTACACTGATAGAATAGGTTCTTGATCAGGGCGATGAGTCTTGCATGGTTGAATTCGCCCAAAACTTGTTTGAGTACTCACGACAATTTATATTAACATTAAAGGATTCGAATTTAATTAAGCACAAGCATATGCGACAAAGACTTTAATTTAAACATATTAATTGATCTTTGAATATGTTGGAAAAGTTTTGGCCAAAAAAAAAAGAATATGTTGGAAAAGAATAGTCTCCTACTACTTAAAATCCGCCTTAAACATATTAATTGATGTTTGAATATGTTGGAGGAGAATAGTCTCCTACTACTTAAAATCAACCATTATATTCTGCACTTCTCCAAAAAAAGAAAAAAGAAAAATGCACATTCATTTATATTAGCATTTTCCGTTGCCAATGACGAAGTTTTGATAAAGCTTGGTATTCATATTTGTGAGCCAATAGATTGGAACATATGCATCAAAAAGATTGGGCACGTAGTTAATTTTAGTTCTTCTCAAGTACTGAATATTCCACACACGCATATTTTAGTCCTTCTCAAGTACTAAATATTCCACACATGCATCGCACTAAGGTTGGATTGGGAAAATTAAACACATGGAACGAACATCGTACGTCAAAAACATGCAACAAAGACTTTGAATCTTAGTTAATTATTTGTACATGTACCCAGATCACAGTCAGAGGGAATTCCAATTTTAATTTTTAGAATATCTCGATCATATATATGCTTAATTTAATGTTTGAATAGTTCAAAAGAGGTTACTATCCCTCCTCCTGTGTTTAATAGAAGAACTAGTTAGAGATTTAATTTGGTCATAAATATAAAACTCTAATATATTTTATCTCTCATATTTATTTATTTTTTCTCAAAATACTCTTTATGATGATTAGACATGTTAAAATGTTTTTATTCTAATACACATGATTAATAAAGATATTTTAGGAAAGACGACGCTTATTTATGATAAATAACAAATTTAACTAATTTTCTTAATATTTACAAATTAGTTATCTAACTCTTAATTGGGAGTAATTATTTAGCTAGTATATGTTGAAAATTGCGACTAGCCAGCATTACACAAGTGATAATATATATACCCATTAAATTAATTAATATTAATTAAATACAGTCTTCTAATTTACTTTAGTTTTTGTTCTTCAGTTTTCCAAAATTTTTGGAATTCAAACTTTTTTCCTATATTGATCAAATTGAACAATATGCGCCAACACTTACATCTCCCTACCTAGCTGAGTTGCCAGTGTGGAAGTTTTTATTAGATTATATAAATCTAAATTCTACATTGACTAAGAATTGGAGAATAAATTGATGGTATATAATCTAAGATAAGTTCCTACCAGAATAACTGAAGTGTTTTTATTTTTTTAATAACTCAAGCACCCAACATTATTTTCTTCATACAGAGTTCGGATTCACGACCTCATGTTTAAAAAAGCTTCAAGAGACGTCGTTGTTGTCATTTATAGGTTACACGGCCTCACAAGTTGATTTGAGTTATTCTAATAGAAAGACAAACCCTACACACACACGCACATATATGCACCTAACTTTCTAGAATTTAATCCGAAGAAAGAGAAAACTGAAGATTGAAGGGGGGAAAAAAGGAAGTTGTAGACCTAAGACATCTGAGACTCAAAAGAAGCATAAGCACATGCAAGGAAAAATTAACAATAAGTAACCCAAGGAAGTTTCCTATCAAATTGGTTTGAACTATTTTGATAGAAACACATACCTAGTATTTGCTTAACTATCTAAAGTCTAATAGTTTTTTTATATATATACATATATGTATGTATGTATGTATATATAGCTCCCTTAATTGTCGCATAAAAATGGAATTGAAATTTTATATATGCTTAAAAGTTAAAACTTAGGGATAATAACAAAAAAAAAGAAGCTAGAAATTACTAAATCTTAAATCAAGTTTGGTAACAACACTTTATTTGGTGTTGATAACATTGAATTGGCAAATGACAATAAATTTTTATTGACACTCCTCATTTGAAATTTAGTAATTTTAAGTTTCTTTTTTTTTTTTTATCATTTTCTCTAAAACTTATTCGGGAGATATTATTAGTGTTTTTACGATCAATTTGAGATCAAATTAAATAGACTGTCCTATCCCCTATAGCCTGTGCCTTCTGTTATCTTTAAGGTCAGTTCATCGAGTGCTATAGCTCAATTACATTTAGCTATTAATTAAAAAGAAGGGGTGATACTTATCACTCGTTAGTTATTTGTATGGTTAATTTCTGTAACTTATCATTTTAATTGTCTTTTCAAAAGAAAAAAAAAAAGAAGTTCTACTGGTTTATATTTCAAATAGTCTTCAAAGCCAACTATTTCATAGTGTTAATATCATGAATTATTTAATTACAAAAGAGAAAAAATAATGTCAAAAATATAAGACGACGTTAACATCCAAATATATATTATAACTCAGTGTAATCATAACTTGTTTATTTAAAAAAGGGAGCGGACTATCATATATAAATTGGAAAATCAATTATTAAACTCATAAATATCTAAATTTGGTCTTTTTAAAAAAATTGATTATTTGACATTCGATTAAAAATTTTAAAAAGTTATTTATTGCTTAGTCTAAGTTCATTGAGACCAGTGATTCATGTAAGTAAAAGTTGGACATGGGATCCCATCGTTAGCTAGCCAACCTCCTAAAGAATTTTTTCCGAGATAATTAATTAACAGATGATATATTCTTGACAATTTATAAGTGAAATATATAGGATTGTGAACATCGGGTTCTGTCCCTTCTTCATTGTGGAATAGGGAGAGTGAAGAAAACTCAAAAGGAAAGGAAGGACATTTTTATCGATCAATCCAGTCATTTTTTTGAAAATAAGGACCTAAATGCCTCGTTGTATTAAAAAATTAGGCCCTTCAATATATTTTAGGGAGAATTACAATGAAGTCCTAAGAAAGATAAATAATTACAAAATAAGATCCAGTAGTTGTTATTTTGTCATTGTTATTGGGATTTGTTAACAATTATTTTTATTTCTTGGAACCTCATTGTAATTTTCCCTATAATTTACTTTCTTCCATATTTCTTGGATGTCACTCTCTGGGGGAAAAAAATTACCATACTCATTTTATTTCTGCGATTCATATGAGAATTCTTCGTCAAATAATCAAATATTATTCTTATTCAGTAATAATTAGCTGCCTTAAAAATCAGCTAAATCTCATATACGTACGGTTCACATCACTAAAAAGAAAATCATGCAACTTCATCACTGAAATGGTCATATTATAAAAACAGTTGCTTACTTATTGCAAAGCTGATGGGCGTGTGCGCGTAAGTGGGAGTGCATGTGAGTGCCGAGTGATTATTCTACTAATAAGGAAATAAAGCTAAGGCTGATATGTAAAGGGGACTAAACATAGGTCATGTTTTCTTCTTGCTACAGCACCAAAGATCTCAGACATGTCGAAGTCTTCAGGCTTTTCTCCATTAGGAAGTTTCCAATCAAAATGATAAAGCAGATTTGCTATTATCAATTCTAAAATTGGTGCCACAAATGACATTCCAGGGCATATCCTCCTTCCTGCACCAAATGGAATAAACTCAAAGTTGGTGCCTTTGAAATCAACTGAGCCGTCAATAAACCTCTCAGGTTGAAACTTCTCAGCATCGTTCCAATACTGAGGATGCCTTCCAATAGCCCAAGCATTTATGATCACCGTAGATTTGAGAGGTATCTCATAGCCATCAATTTGACAAATCTCACTATTTTGTCTCGGAAGTAACAAAACAAGAGGTGGGTGCAACCTTAAAGTCTCTTGAATGACTGTCATTACATATTTCAACTGATGGAGTTTTGACTCGTCCACGAATCCTTCATTTTCATAGACCCTTCTTACTTCTTCTTATATACGTTATTTTCCGATGTGAGATTAATAAAGAAATTAAATAACTAATTTATAAAGATTTATAAAAAATTTAGTTTAGTTAAATGTATTCGTTGACTTTTCTACTCAATTTAATTATTGACATTAAAAACTATCTTCGATTAAAAAAAACTCACTTAATATGTGTAATTATTAAAAAGATTTTTTAAAAAATTATAAATTTAAAAGCCAAAATAAATTAAATTTTTATATTTAGAATTAAAATAAATTTATTCACTACTTGTTATATTTAGAATCAGATGAAAATTTACGATTGGCTTCATTATTCACAAGGTACTATAAGTAGTCTCACTCCTTAATTAATATCGCAGAATGTGTGGAGAGATGGATGTCCCTCACTTACAGAAAACAAAGATCACCAATGAGTGGTTCACATGAACAAAAAGAAAAGTCAAAAGATATTTTGTTTTTGAAAATGAGATGTTGTGAAAAATAAATTTAATGCCATTAGTCATATATTCCTCTAGTGCTATTTATAAGTCATTTTTAATATGTTTCATACAGATTAAGAAAAATCTTAAACTTTATTAACTCTCATTTAAAATTCAATAACTTTTCAACTTTATCCCTATTTAATATACATTATACTTCATGTAAATAAAGTCAACACAATAATAAATGAAAGGTAAAATTATACATAAAAAAAAATTCTTTCAATGCTCCATAAATAGAACCAAAAAATGTCTTATCTCTTTACTTTATAAATAGGATTAGAGGAGTAATTCTTAGAAGCAATTAATTATACAAATAATATGGACGTAATCATTAAAGAGGAAAAGAAGTAAGAAGTTAATTATAAGGAAAAATAATATTTTTATTTTTAGAAAACAGCTTACAATGAAATTATAAAGAATGATATTGATGCCGATAATAAAAAATATAGTAACATAGTTTGACTACCCTTCTAGTTTGCATTAATTACAAAGACTTTTCCTCTTTTTTAAAAATATACAGTTTAGTCCAATTAGTTTACAGTGTTAAGAATATTCTAAAATGTTATTTTTAACTGAAATTTATATTAAAATAAAATTTATTTTCTATTTTACTCCTCATTCTAATAAATTCCTAAATTATATTTTTACAGTTATATCAATTTCATTTAGTTAAGGCAAATATAAAGATTTGATTAAAAATTTAACTAATTTAATGAAATTTTATGATTTAAAGTAAAATATGAAAATTATAAAATCTTATGATTTAGATCAAATTAATAAATTTTATAACATATTAGAAATTTTAAAGACAATTATTTGTTGATTTTATAAAAACACTTTTTGGAAAATATAAATGTCTAAATAATTATTAATTTAAAAAGGGGCATTTTGGTAAAAAATAATTTAAAATCAAACTTAATAGTTAACTAACGGTTTGGATGGATAGAAATAAAATTTTAAATATAGGATGAAGGTTTATGTAACATATGTTTTAACTGTAAGGGAGATTTATATATATTTTCAAAATAAAGAGAGATTTTTATAATTGAAATAAAATAGAAGGGTAATCGGTGTATTGTATTCTAAAAAATATTATATCTCATCTTATTTTAAGTATCCAAAAAAAAAAACCCCATTCATTCAGACTTTTCTTTGTCATTTATTTGAGCCATCAATTTTCCGAAAGGTTGGCATTCAAACTTTTTTTTCCGTGCATTAATCAAATTGAATAATGCATGCACATTCAAGTAGTAGCATTTTTCATCCTCCTAGCTGCAATAAGGAAGTTTCCCTTCTGTGTTCTAGTCTTATTTATTTATGAGGTATGGAGAGAAATTTTTTTGTCTTGCTATAAGTCATATTTTTAAATTTTTAATATGAATGTATTATTTTGTTTTTCATTTATCACAATATAAATTATTATTTTTTAAAAAATTTTATATATTAAATAATTGTACAATTATAAAGTTGTTATATTTTAAGATAGAGTTAATGTAATTTTAGATTTTTTTATTCATGTGAAATATGTTTAAAATGCCTTATAAATAACACCAATTTTTTGCAAAATCACTGCAATCATTTGGTACTGATGCTAAAGATGCTGAGTAATTAAATTCATAGAAAACTTTATGTTTCGGTAGATAACATATCTATATACCCCTTCTGATTCTATTTATAAAATACTTCTAATATCAATGTCGACATTTCTTTAAACAAAAATTTGAACTTTAATTTAAAGTGTTGTGAGTGATTACTTTCTTCTACTTGATCCAACATGTGGGCCCTATTTTTTATGGGGACTCTAAAACTCAGTTGGGACCCACATGACAATCACTTTCTCTTTACTCCTTCCTACTCGAGACCACAATAAATTAAACTCCCTTCTGGAGAAATGGTCATCTTTGCAGAATTTAATAAATCATTTATGATGTATTTTCAAAAGTATCCTTCATGCAATTAACTCTTAATTTATTGAGAAGCATTATTTTCAGCTTTATGATACATGTTAATGACTATAATTAAAATTAATTTTGAAAATTTATTATCATTTTTGAAAAATTAGACTGTATATTACATTTAACTGCTTTTTTTTTAACTCTATGATTTAATTAAAAATATCTTACATTATATTGGTCGGTCCTCTTGAATAGAACTTAGTAATATATACACATATATATATTTCAAATAATTATTGCTAAATTCTCATCATTCGTGCGGCCATATCAGTGACTGTATTTGTTGCTTTTAGCGTGTACACACACACAACGTTGCAGCAACTTTCACTATAATAGGCTCATCAGTTCATTCTAGCTCAAAATGAATTATGATGAGCCCAAAAATAAGGCCGTCAGCCCAGGACCGTTGGCCATGTTTTCCCATTTCGAGGCACTTTTGTGAATAAGTGCTATGACATTCCTTTTTTCCAAAAAAAAAAAACAAGAAGAAATGTAAAACAATACTAGTTCAAGTTCTTAGTATAAAAAAATAGTCAAAACTTTAATTTGGTTATAAATATAAGACTTCAATTCATTTTACCTCACATTTTTTTCAAAGTATTCTTATTGATTGAAGGAGATTTCTACCAATGTGTGATTTCAATACATATCATTAAAGAAAGTAATTTATCTTGGTGAACCAAGGTTTGAATTTTCATTGAAAGAGGTATCAAATAGGATTGCCTCTAATAAGAGGATACCTGTGCTTATAAAAAAAATATTTTAGAAAAGTCAACGTATATTTATTATAAATAACTAACTTAACTAATTCTTTTAATTTTTTTAAATTAATTATCTAGCTATTTTTAGTTTACCAGCATTATCACTTTTAGCCAATATTGATTTACTACATTGGAGGGACTAGCTCCTTAGCTTCTAATGGACCTAAACCTCATTGATACACATAATACCATTATGTTCTAAGAAGAAAAAGAAATGAAAATCACGTCCTCTTATAATGGTACCCTCATTATAATAGGCCCAACACTTATATTTATGGCCCAAAAAGAGTTATAATGGGCCAAGCCTAGAACTAACAGCCCAAAACAATGGGATTGGCAAGTACTTCTCCGATCCTTAATATAAGACCTAATTTTTGAGTTAGTTTTGGTTTTAAATATAAAACTCATTTCTCATATTTATCAATTTTTTCTAAATTACCGTTATAGATATTCCCTCAACTATAATTGAGTAGAAGAGGGAGAATAGGTATTAAAAAAGATGATTATGATGTTTTAGGAAAAATGTGTCACATTTCTTATAATTAACTAACTTACCTAACTTCTTTAATTAGATAAATGGGTCTTATATTAAGGACCGGAGGAGTATTATATCTCTGACTTTGATGCTCCGCACCTCATCAGGCATCTCCGTTGAATAAATTATATCATCCTTCCTATAAATCACCTCAAGAGTTCTGCACATTTTCCAAAACACCTCTCTCACATCAATGGATGCTATGATTCCTCCTTTCTTCACCATTAATCTCATAAGCTCTTTCCTTTTCTCTTCACCCTTCTTCTTCATCTCTTCTTCTTCACTTCCATTAATCAACCGCAAGCCTATTGAGTTCACCGGTTTCCCTTGTTCTTTCTCCCTCTGCACGTAAAACCGCACACACACATATCTAGATCTCATATTCACTTTATTATTTTTCCTACAAGATGCATGTGAAAATTGAGATCGATCAATTGCTCATCTATCTCGCGTGGTAGTCATTGACATCATTAAGGTATCGCCCCTAGAGACCAATAACATCTAGGAGTAATTGCTTTCTATGCTTTCAATAATTCTAACAGATTAACTTTTTCGTCACAAATTTTCCCGACAGAATATTATCGGTAGTTATTAACAGAATTTTGATAGAATTTTTGGTGGTAATTATCAATGGATTTTTGATAAAAAATTCTGTCACTAATTAACCACAGAATTTTCTATTGGTAATCTGTGACTAATTTGTAACAGAATTTTGTTAGTAATTTGTGACGAGAAGTTCCATGAGCAAATCTAAAATTTGAAACAAAATTATTTATATTTTTAGCTTTTCTTGTATATTTTTTGTTTTATTTGTTTAACTTTAAAAACAGGAAACAATTAAAAAAGCAAACAATAAAGACAATTAAATTTCTTGAATACCAAGCAAGCTATAATTAATAAATAATATGAACATAGCTTCCCAATTAAACATACTTGACATGTTAAAAGTTTAACACTGAACCCATAACTCTCAACTCTAATGTTGACACCCAGTTTTTACAACATCAGCCAAAGCTTATCCTTCATGCAAGTGTTGACTATCTGCTTAATGGGTTCATAACAGAGCTGAAACCCGCGCTTGCCAGTAGGAGAACCAATGAATGAGTGTTCTTGGTAGTCCACTTGTTGTGGGAAATGATTGCTATTTGTGAACCATGCATGAAGAATTTGCCAACTGTTTTATGAACATGTGGAGAGACAAAAACAAAAAAACAAAAAGTGATACCTTTGAGCTCCCATTCCCTCTTTTGGATGAATTTCGCTAGCAGATTCCCTACTAGAGGAAGATTTAGATCCAGACTTGAGCTTGCTCAATTAAATGAGCAAAGATAATATCAAATCCATTTGAAGAAATTTGTTTATCATCATCAACCGCAGCAATGTTTGTTGCAATATATCCAAGTCCCTCAACAAAAAAAGAATCTCCCAATTATTTCATTATATGCTTCTTCAAAATAAAACTAATGAATTTAATTATAATAAGATTCAAAACCATATCAGTCACCTCTATTGACTTTACCCCATTACTTAAGTGCAAGAACACAAGCCAAAGTAGATAGAATGGAGTCTTTGGTCACCGACTTATTACGACCAGGTAGACCTCATGATCTATCAATGTGTTTAATTTTTACGGAGCTACTCAACTTTAATTTCCAAGAGAGACAATTCTTGATGAAGGCGAGAACTTTGCAATCAAATTATTGGTTAAAAAACGAGCTGCTAATCAGATTCTTGAATATTGTATCATAGTGAAAGATCTACCTGGCCAGGTCTATTTTTTAGTGAGGTTTATTTTATACTTGTAAATAATGAACCTAATTAGTCATGAAAATTGTCGATTAATTTGTTCCACATAAAAAATAAAAATAATACATTGATATAGAATGTGGTGGTGGAGATGATATCTGGATTTCTAAGACCCTCTACAGGTGACTAATCAAAGTTTTAATCTAAAATATAATTTAAGCATTTCTTTTTTTGCTAAAGCATAGGTATCCTCCTATTGGTGGCAATTTTATTCGAAGCACTGTCAAGCACTAAATGTGGGCACGTCTCCCAGCGGAGATTTGAACCTTAGTTCGTCATGTTGTGAGGGACTAACCCCTTCCACTAGACCTAACCCCTATTGATATAATTTGAACATTTTTAGTTGAAAAAATGGTTTGTAACGGTCATTAAGAATTTGGGCCAAGATAGAGGCCCAATGGGAAGCCCAAGACAGGAACGAGTGAGATTTAGAGGCAGAGGAGATGATATAATAAGGGGTAAAATTGGTTACGAAAGGGTATGGATGATTTTGGATGATTTTCTCTCTGGTCCCATTCTTGGGAATTCTCTGTGGCTCCCTTCTTCTTCTTCTACCACCATTGCTTTGAACCCTTCTACTGCTGCTACTGATTTTCTGAACCTATCCTTTGTGTTGTTTATTTATTTCAGTGCTTGTAGCCGATATGAACACTAGATTACAAAGGTATGATGATTTTTATGCAGGAGGTGCTCAGAATGTTTAGAATAAATACTGATACATAGACCCCTCTTGATTACTTTTGTTTTTTTTTTTAATCATTCCTATCATTGCTCTCTTTGTGGTTGCTGCTGTTGTCTCAGTTCCATCAAGAAAAATTGTGCTGAAAACAAATATATATATATATATATATATCACTTCCATGATAAATTAAAAAGTTTGTATAAAATTCGAGGGGCCAAAGATATAAAAACATCAAACAAAGCTTTTAGGGTGCAAAACCCCTACAAGTCTCTCCTCTCTCTATCATTGTTCTTGAGGCACGATCTCGTTGGAAATTAATTTCCAATCAAATGAGGGAATTTGGAATCCTCCGAGTGATCTATGAATCTAAAATAATGGGACTGTTGAGAACTATATCTCTGATGTTGAGCACCTCATTTGGCATCTCCTTCGCATGAATCACATCTTCTTTCTTATAAATGAGGTGAAGTGATCTGCTCATTTTCCAATTCACATCCCTCACTTCTCTTGGCATTTTGCTTCCTTCTTCCTTTGATACCAATCTCACCAGCTCTTTTCTCCTGTCCTCTATTTTACTCTGTATCTTCTTTATGATCTCTTCTTCACGTTCTTCCCCACGGCCATGAATCAGGCGCAAGCTTATGGAGTTGATAAATTTCCCTTCTTCTTTTTCCCTCTGCAGAAACAGATACAATATAATCTTATTCACTTAGTGCTACGAAAACCTAGAAAAAATATTCAAGGGAAAGGAAAAGACTCGTCAAATCACCTGGTAGCCATTAACATCATTGAGGTATCGCCCATAAATACTAACAAGCTCAAAGAGGTAATTGTATTCATCACTTTCAATGACAGACTGTGAAAGCTTAGGTCCAATAAGGTACATTACGGGGATAATAATTGGTCCCAAGGCCATTGATATAATTCCATTGCGCTCATATTCTTCTATACCTGGCACACACTTGTTTCTGCACCATTCCGCTTCTTTTAACTCATATCGTAGTAAATCCAACGTCTGAAAACAAAACATGTCAATATTTCAAGAGATTAATAGAGTTTAGTGCGATGATGAAATTAGCAAAGAAAGCAAGGAGATAATTATGATCTTACGATCTGAATCAAGTGGTTCAACACACTCCGTCCTTGAACTTCATATGCTTCGGCTGCAATCTCATAAATTGTTTTCTTTAGTGCTAAGAATATTATCTTCACCGTCTCAGAACAACTTTCTTTGTCGACATCTGCATCCCACTTGCAATCCAATGTTCCAAACGCATAATCTTCATATTATGCAGAGAGAAAATAGACAACAGTTATAGGGGTTCATTACAAAGACCGTACTTCTCCATTAACTGAATAAGGTTGATGTGTTCATCTTCAGTACCCCAAACATCAAAGAAATCATCAACCACACATCCCAACAAGCTTTGCTTTGCCCATGTCAGGCGTGCTTCGCGAAGTTCTGGGGAGGTCAGTGTTGCTGCAACAGTCAAGAAGGAATAGGCAGCTTTTGCTTTTGAGATTGGAAAATGTAGTTTCTCCAATCCACTCTCCATAAACCACCTGATTGTAAATATCTACTTATCAGTAATTTAAAGATTGGCGTCAGGTTAGAATGAATAAGCTTACACAAATTGAATGTTAAATGTTATTTGCATTTTAAAATAAATGCACATAATTTCTTAAAGCAACATATTTATATATATAGTCAGTTTTGAGTTCTTGAAAATGATACTAACTTGTTGAACAGGTTGAATTCTTCAAGAAATAATAGTTGAGAGTGATTGAAGTTGTCTACTCCCAATTTGAGGAATTCTTTGTTGGGGAGATTCATAGAACTGAGCAATAAAACCATGACAAACAGAGTGATTATGAACTTTCAGGAAGCTCGCATGAAAAATAGAGTGTGCTGAGATCCATAATATGATGTAAGTACCAATATGAAGATTTCAAAATTCTCTTTTGATGGGCGTCGTAATGCTCTATAGATCTTCGGTTTAAAATGAAATCCAAATAAGCATGATGAGGAAAACGCATAGCAAAAGGTACCTGAAATTAACATATGAAATGATTTTTTTAGCTTATCTTACTGACATGGGACTTTAGAATATCATCGAAAGTTGAAATCAAAATTGAATTTTCGAGTTTAATATACACACACCTCGTGGTCAATATGATTAGAAGGCAGCTTGTAAGCATTTTTTGAGGAAGAGGACAAATATTCCTCAAGGAAGTGTTGTGTCCAAGAGTTTAGTTCCTCCAAAACTAAATCATTTGAATGCAAAACTATATGAGAAGCCTTACGTAACTCCAAAACAGCCTCGACATCCCTCAAATAACCCAGAAGAGAATTGTAAAATCTGTCTTCTGAGAACCGATCAAATGCATCTGAAAAAGTAGTACACAAATTATCACATCAGATTTAGCTATTTTTGTTTGATTCCTTTTATTGAATTGAAAAAGACACAAAAACCTGAAGAAACGTTGTATCCATGCAAACGTAGCAAACGAAATGCCATGGCACATGTGGTGGGTTCTAAAAATATGGCATCTTCTTCCTTTTGCCACATTCTATTTCATAATCAAATCGAGGAGGAGATCAAATTTTGTAGCCTTCTTGCTTCTTAGAGTAATAGTTATTTTCAATTTCAAGCATTTGAAGTACACAAAGTTAATTACCTCCATGTTTCCTCTAGCACACTTCCAATTTCCTCCTTAAAATGGCGATCAATACCCAACTTTTCAAGACTATCAACCATATGGAGTCGAGCATACACATCAAAAGGATGAACTGCTGGAACTGAATAAAGCATACGTACATATATAAGAAAACAAATATTAGTCGGAAAACGTAATTATAACTGTCATGTAGAAGAAGACAAATCCATCAAAGCTTTTTAGGAAGAATTAATTACCAGCATTTCCAAATTTATCTAAGAGTGAAAATAGATAATCAAGACATGTGCATTGTTAATGTGAGTATATGCTGATGCGGTGGTGGCCGAGGAGTTAAACAAAGAACCATTCTTTCTTTGAAACTTCATAGCCATTTCCTAGTTCTGTGACTTCCCAAATCCTTCTGAGATGTATGCCACATATGCTTTCCATCCTTCTGACTTGCTTCCCCACCCACTGCAACTATATGCACGTAAGAGCTCAGATATTGTCTATTCAAAAAACTAATAACTTACACATAAAAATTCTGATAAGTTATTGCAACACATCCATGAACAACTCTCTGCAAACTATATATGTAAAGGTACCTTTGGAGCTCCAATTCTCTTTTTTGCATGAATGTCTCTAAACGTTTCCCTCCAAGGGGAAGATTTAGATCCAACTTCTGGGCTTGCTCGAGCAAATGAGGAAAGATGATGTCAAATCCTATTGGAGAATGTTGCTTATCATCAAGAGCTGAAGCAATGTTGGACTCGATATATCCCAGTCCTTCATCAGCACAAATGATCACCCCATTATTTGACTATACATAGTTGGTTTTGAATTTAAACTTTAAAGACTTTATCTATATAGTTAATCCTTTTAATCAAAAAGAAATCCATATTCATAAATTGTTACATTAATACCTCTGTTAGTTTGCTGTTCACCAACACCCCACTGCTCAAGTGCAAGAACACAAGCTAAAGTAGATAGAAGAGAATCTTTAACAAGCAACTTGTGACGATCAGAAAGAACCCATAATCCATCGTTTTGTTGATTTTGCATTAACCAGTTTAGTGACTGAGGAAAGAGAGGAGTTTGTGGAGAAGAAGGTGATGGTATCATTGCCACCCAAGCTGTGTCATAACTTGATACAGAAAGTTCAATTTTGTCGAACATCTTTATTCTCACTTTGTCCCCCTCTAATATCTGCATTAGTTAATACAATCTACCATCTTATTTTTACTTCTATAAACTAATTGTCATAATTGAAGATACATAAGAAATGAAAGAATGATACGTTACATTAACGTTAGGTCTGCTATGAACTTCGTTCCTTGCATTTGATCCATCTGAAGTTGCTGGGAGGTGAAAATATAGACAAGAAATTAAGTATACCGTGTGAAGGATAGTTAACACTTTGTTAGTTAATTTATAACTAGGACAGTTGTCCATATGGTTGCTTCCGTTTGTATATAAATACTCATGCATTAATGAAAAGACAAGCATATTCATTTTACCAAAACTGAGTTACATGCCATTTAACAATTTTCTCTCTCCTTTTTTTCCGCTTTAATTTCCTTATTGCCCTTACTTTCCCTTTTGTCTTTCTCACCTTACCCTTTCTCTTTCCTTTCAAGATTCTCTCTCTTTCTTTTCCTTTCAAGAAGCGACGCTTTCATAGCCATAAACAGCCCAGCTAGAAAGGAAAGCAGAATAAATAATTTCAGGTGTCTACAAGACTTGTTAAATGTCATTCTCTTTTGATTTTGTGAGAGTTCAAGAAAACCGTTACACTTATATCTATATACTTCCTTTATCCCTTAAGGGTGTGTTTGGATTAGCGGTGGGAGAAGTTACTTTTTCTCAATTTGACTTTTACAAAAGTCAGATTAGATAAAAGTTAGATAGTATAATGTGATTTATGTTGGATTGACTTTTGTAAAAAAATCAGTTTAAAAAGCTTAAACTTGTTTAGATAATTAATAGAAAAGAGATATGAATATTATTAAATAATAACGTGATAATTTTAAGAAAAATATTAAAATTATAAGGGTAAAGGTGCATTTTTAGTCTTAATTTTATTTTTCATGTACACCCAACATTTTTATATTTTTAATAGTGTAGTTTTACCCATGGTCTTTTTTTTTTTAATATAATTTTACCTATGAAAGTTTTTTAATGCAATTTTGCCTGTGATTTTTTTTTTCCAGCATCTGATTTGGTGATCTATTCTCATGATCTTATTTTAGAAGTTATCTATTCTCATGGTCTTACTTTCTCCCTCTGCAGTGGGTGATGTGAAACAGTAAAAGCAATAAATTTTAGCTTTTGAGATACCATGACTTTTGCATCATAAGCCCATTTTGATGTATTGTGAATCCAAACATTAATTTAAGCCTCATTGTGCTTTTTTTCCCTTCAACGCACGGTACCCCTTCAGAACGCTCTACCAAATACACACTAAGGCACTTTGTAAAAAGAAGTATTAATGCTTCTATATAGAATTAAGTCATTAGATGAGTCATTAACTAACTTTTATCTTTCAAACATTACTCTTATTACAATTTACATAAGTCTGATGTAATATTGTTTCCATGTTCTTAATGGTTCAACCACTTCTCCTGATGAGCTATTTAAAGTTGACTTGTAATAAGAATCAAAGAAAGCGTGTAACCAAAAATTAGTTAAAATTAATTAAAAATAATAAATCGATAAGATACATATACTTTTCTTTTAAAATATGCATTTATAATAAATGAGAAAAATGATGGGTGAGAATGTACAGGAAAATGTGATGAAAGAGTGTGGCAAAAAGGAGAGAGAATAAATGATAATGAGCAATATTAAAAAATGCATTAAATATTGAAAGAAACCCAAATTAAAACTTATAAAATAGATTACACCCCTTCCCAAATTTAAATCTTACAAATAAGACTAAAAGGAGTGTGGAGTGTGTGTAGAAAGGGAACCGGTTTCTATTACTTTGATGAATACCCTAAGCTCATCAAATCTAGACCGTCTATATCTGATTTGAACAGTCCAAATTTGAAATATGCAATTAATTATTTTAAATAGAAAAATTTCTTTTTCAAAAAAAATGATAGTGAAGAAATTATCTTTATTTTAGATTTCATCCATATTAAAATAATTATTTTAAACAAATAAAAATAAAAAAGAATCAAATCCTAATCATTCAAAGAAGATATGGAAGGTTCAAAACTTAAAGTGTTCATCAAAATGATGAGTACTAAAATTGATTTCATGCAGAGAGAGAGAGAACCTGTAGAAAGGGAAGGAGATGGCAAGCGAGGGAGCCAGAGAGACATGGCGGCACCGGTAGCCAAAATGGAATATTTTTTCTTTCTACGAACACAGTGTGTACTGCTTTTACCCAGACATATATATAGGCCACGCAAAGAATAAAAGAAGACAAAACATCTGAATTATTACGTTCTGTTTATTTTTCCTTCTCCCTTACGGCATTTTTCCAAGCCACCCCAATTAGTGGGATGTGGAAAACATGGATGTAATTAGTACGCAACGAAATGACTAAAATAACGTTTATGCGGTTGGTGAGGCACCGGATTTAATTAATTTTTATCACGAGAATTTTTAATGAATAAAATTAATTTTTTTTTAATTTCTTAACAATTTCTTCGAGATAAGACTAAACCCAATAATCTTGCATTGCATGCCTTTATTGGGTTGGTTTGAATTAATGTCGACCTGGTGCACAAATTTGTGCACCCATATTTAAATCATGATTTATTTATAAAAATTTATAATATCATATGCTTTGTTCATGAAATAAAAATTATAAAAATGAACAGGTGGGGTTTTCGTGGGGACACCGAAGGTGGCGAGCATGGGATCCCCAGATATATCTCCCGTTTTCAAATTATTTATAAGAACATTTTATACAAATTGAGATAAAATTTCTTTCATATACTTATCTTGTATTTTGTAAATTATTATTAAAAAGTTATTTATAAGTTATATTAAGACTCTGTTTGGGATCACAACTAAAATTACTTATAAACATATTTTATGTAAACCAAAATAAAACTTTTCTCTTATACTTATTTCATATTCGGTCATAATTGAAAACCTATCTATGATCCATTTCAAATCGCCTAAACGGGCCCATAGTACGGCCGAAAATCACGACAGATTGGGTGCAATCTATTTTGACTTGTCCAGTCTATTTTTATTTGTTTAAATAATTGCATTACGTGAATTTTTAATAAAGTGCGTCTTTAATCCTTTCATCTTAATATCATTAGTCTTGTTAAACAAACAAAAAATGATGACTCAGCAATGTAAACAGTAACTCTATAATTAATATATTGACGAATCGTGCTTAAATTTTTAAATATAAAATGATTATATTAAATAACTACAATTTAGAGTACATTTTGTTATTATTCAATGGCAAAGTCACAATTTAAATTTGTTAAGTTTAATGAGACTCACAATATTAATATTAAGAGATTATACTAAACACTGTTAAAATACACTTTATAAATTAAAAGGCTAAGCTAAAATTTAATATAAACTTAAGAGACCAAATATATACTTAATATCATAGACTCTCCACATATTTATTATAACTAACCAAGGTAAAAATGAAAATTCACTCTTAATTTTATTTCTCAAATGCACTCACCATGTTTATTTTTTTAGTGATATAATGATGGAATATTTTTTCTTTCTACGAGCACACAGTGTGTAGTACTTTTACAGGGACACACATATATACATAAGCCAAACAAAGATAAAAGGAAAAACATCTTCATTACTACCTCCAGTCTTAATTAAAAAATATTTATAGTCTCCAAACAAAGTCTTATAATTAAAATCAAAAGTAGTACATTCATTTTCTTGCCTTCTCTTTGATGGCATTTCTCTAAGTCTTATAATTAGGTCTTACATTAAAACCAGAAAGAATATATAGCCCAGGCAAACGTTTCATGATTTGTATTTTTAACGACGACCTGAAGAAACTTATTTGCGGCATGTATATTTTGCATGGAATCGATGAATGATAATATTTGCCAACTCGAATTAATTGTGTTCGACATATATACCCAACATCACAATACACATAAGGGCCCCCAATATTAATCTACTTAATTAATTGTATTATTAATATTTCATTTGCACTAGTATTTTGTTTGAATGTTCAAAATTAGCAATTAACTTGAATTCAAATGCACTAGTGTTATTAGTCTACCCAACAAAAAGCTGTGCGGCTAATTTAATTTGAGGAAGTTAGTTTTAGGATGAGATTTGATTGATTATGC